TATGGTGGAGATCAAACAATCCCATGAAAAAAAAAAAGTGAGATAAAGATAGCTAAAGTAAAGACATCGAAACAGATCGAGTGAAAAGCAGCAGCTCAGAGCTGAGAATAATCTTGTACAGACCGAAAGGGAGCGGCTTTACCGGAAATGCAAACTGAAAATGACACGTTGGAAGCGGTCGTGTTTAAATGAGCACAACAGTTTCACCATGTGATATTATGGTGTGGAACAAAATCCAAATTAAAATAGCTTTGGAAAAAGCCTACAGCTGATCACAAAGAGGAAATGATACTGTATACAGCACTGATGGACCGCTACAGCTTTTCTGCCAGATACACTGGCTGATTGTAGCCAAATGTTTTTGGCACAGCCTGGGCTATTTGAAAAACCACATTACCAGTGGAACAGCAAAATTTGAAGCTCATGCTGACATTGACATAATTGTTTTACATGAAATAAAGTGGAAAAGAGGATGCACCTGCTTGTAATGTTAATTTGCATTGTGAAGAAAAAGAAGTCTCTGAAAGAAACAATACTGACTGAGTAGGCTACAGTCTGGCATAACACCAAGTGAAATCTCTATATGGTTTTCTTTTTAACATTTTGGAGGCTACCTACATGGTTTCAAATTTGCTTGCACAACAGCCCGACCACATTAAAAAAAAAAAGAATAAACATTTTGTAAGAAATATGAAAATGCCAGCTAGATATTATGAAATCTTTGCTTGACATTTTTCAAGGTTAAAATTAGCAGTGCAGCAACTGCTACTGCTGTAGCAGTCACTACTGATGTCTGAAACAGATTTACTGCTTATGTCTGAACTGTCTTAATATGTCAGTCACCCATGGAGCAATATGAATAACAAAGTTTATACAAAAAGTGTTATTTAGAAACTTTGATTAAATGAATGAGTCATTGAGATTTCTGGGTTTTTTAAAAATAATTCCTACCTGCCAAACACAGCTTAAAAATAGGGGTTTGTGATTGCTCCACATCATGTTGCTACCTGCTTTCTTTCAATCACCTGACAGCCACCTGATAAAAGTTTTCAACATAAAAAAGTGTGTCTATATGTTACGTTTGCTTGGAAGCTGGTTAACATCGCAACATTTTGACTCGTGAAAGATTTGCGTTTCCATATGCTGCATAAGACCTGTCAGTGGATTACCAAAATAAATGGCAGCAGGGGTTTTTTGTTAAAGAAAGAGTTCCATGAAAGCCCGACAGATGATGTTCTTTGCCTACAAATGCCATGAAGCGAGTCCCAGTTTAGAAAGAGACCGACTTTGATGCAATAGCATCCAGTTTGGGGACAAAAATTAGCCATCAGTGGACGTAATACAACTCACAAGTGGATTCATCTCCTGAACACTGACATTCCTGGATTTGTGTGAATGTGCGTGTATTTCACAACACAGCCAAGCAGGCCATAGTTTGTGTTTTGTATCTGTACATGTGGATTTGCACAAGTTCAACCACATGATGTTTTGATGCTACATCCCCTGGCATCCAGCCCCCACACCCACTTACACACACATGCAAAAAAGCTTGCCAATGTTGACAACTTCAGGAATGCTTTAGCAGCCTCCAAACTGTCACATGGTTTTGGATGATGACTTGCCAAATTTAGGGTCACATAAGACTTGAGTAAGGATAGAGGTGTGTGCGCATGGGCAGTTGTTTAATAAGGCATGGACAGACAAAGTGAGAAAGAGACAGAGGTTGAGTCAGACTGCAGCTGATCAGGCCAGCAGAAGAGATGCCACAATGGTTCCCATTCAAAGCAGCAAGAAAAAGCCACAGTTTCAGAGGCCAAATATTGTCATCAGAGAACATTAGCCAAGGGCTGAAGCACTGCCAAGAGGCAGGCAGAGATCAAAACTAGCTTTGATGGCCCTCAGTAACCCCCTGCTTCCACCACATGCACTCTCTAATATTTTGTGTCTTGGCTACTGTACACTGATTTTTGTATAAATTTCTCCACATTGGCTTTCAAGTTCAAACTGATTTGCTTTTTCTTTTCTATTCTTCTCGTTTAAAATTAGCATTGAATTACAACAATCAGCATCTCAAACCATTGCAGCACAACATTAAGAGAGTCAGAGCCTTTTTCACTTAATATAAATCCTAACGCACCAAAATTCTAGGGCTGAAGGACGTTAACAGAACTAAATTAATAAAATAATACATTTTAGCATCTCATGTATTCTTGCCTATTCTAGGAACTTTTAAAACTGGATATATATAGAGCTCTCCTGAATACAAGAAGAACTCTTGTAATACAAGTCAGAGAAAACACTTTTTTACGTCTCTCATTCTGTCACTGTGGACCAACTTGCTACACGCTGTCAACCTGGACATGACTAATTAACCTTTGAATGTCATTATATGCATATGAAATCAGCAATCGCACTAGAAACATAAGGAAACAATGTACATACGTAGTAGAAATTACAACAGGGAACTACAATTAACCTTTTTGTGCCCAAATCCCATTTAGACCAAATTATTATTATTTTTTTTTTCATTTCTGAGTTAACTAATTTATTCTTGACTGAGTCTGATGTCAAATGCAGATATATGTCATTTGCATTGACAAGACTCATAGAAATTCATGCTAAAAAAGAAGGGGGGGGGGGGGGGTTGCTTTTAGAACAGGGATGTCAAAGGTCAGGTGTTCAAATTCGGTGCAGTGTGTTCCATAATGTAAGTGTATACTGGCTACCAGAGTATAAGGAAAGAGAAAGTGAAACTGAAAATCAGAGGGTGCAGTTAAACCGGCTCATCATTTCACCAGAGCCGATTTTCCACACTCCACGCAGAGGTCCAGCACATGGATGATTACTATACTATTACTGGTGCTGCTGCTCCAGTTGTCTGGCTGGAAGACACGTCTGGCTCGAGCTGCGGCTGCCCCCCCGCAACCCCTTCCATTCGTTCCAGACTGGAATGCCTATATTTAGAGTGCTCCTTTCCGCTGTTATGGCTGTTGAATCATTAGCCTCGTTTAACCCTTCTTTACTTCCAATGGGCTGATTGGCTGAGGGCATGCCCCTTAGGAGTAGTTCTCCCCACCGCCACCAATTCCTGACTACACTGCCCCACCTTCCCCTGTCAAATGTTGAGGAGGTCCCTGCATGTGTGTGTGTGGCAGAGCAAAGAAAAAGTAGAGCCACTCGAAGGGAGCTTCTACTGGGAGCTTGGGGGTCACGGCTTCAGATGAAGGACAAAACACAAGATGATAATGATAAAGTGTGGCTATTTTTGAGATCCGCTTCTGGTCTCAGTGTGCTAGCAGCTCTCTTGTCTCTCATTTCCTTTTGTTTGACAAATTTGAGAAAGGCTGACGTGGTCAGGTTGATTGGTTTATTGGTAATCCCTTCCCCTTTCATTCAATGCACCCATTAGGCCAAAGTGTCTACATGTAGAAAAGACAGCAAAATCTGCTGAGCAGATTGCCATAAAATCCACTGAGCACATTCAGAGAGACTGCAGCCAATGGACATTTTTTCATTTTTGTACTTCATGAGTTTTCCTGTAACAATGCCCTTAGCATATAATGTCCTCTTACAACTCAATTATCACAGACAAATTCCTGCTTTGGCATAAAACCTGCTGTTGACATTTATGTGGACAACATGCCACAACACACAGCTACACCATATTTAACACAAAGTGCACACTTATTCACAGGGTTTAAATCTAATAAAGGCTGAGTGTAAAATAATCAGAAACAATTTAAGTACTGCTTTCTAAGTTATGAAGCATATACTGACAGACATGAGTCAAAGCTAACCTCTTTGCACCACCTTGCTTTTTTTGTTTTGTTTTTAGCTGCAAATTAGTCCTCCATATCCGTTGTGAGTAATATTATGCGCCAATATTTTCCAACAACCCTCAAATTAGCAGCTGTGAGGCACTCGAGGATGGGGTCTAATTATTATGGACCTGGAGTGGTTTTCTAAAATGTTTTGAATATCTGGACAAAAAAAACCATGAAATTTAAAAAAAAGGTATAAATAAACAAACAAAGACCTCACATTCATCCGAGCACGATGCACGCTGCATGATGCTCAAGGCGCATCATGTCCAAAACAAAGTGGAGGTCATTCGAGACAATCCAGCTTCCAGATTAAAGAGTTCATCACTAGCAGTAAAACCATCTTGGGCCATCACACATCTGCTGAAGGGGGATTTACTTCTTCCCATTTACATCTTGGCACCTACATCATCCCCATCTTGCCATCTTCATAGCTGAGCACTGATAAACAACTTTGGCCTGCCAAGTTTTCGCGGTTTGTTGATTACTGTTGGGTCTGTCTTGATTTAGGGCAAGTAGGACTAATCCAAGCTGATGTGAACTATCCTATCTCTCAATCCATGGCTCCAGTTAGCCAGAGATGGCTGGAAGAGAGTTTGTCCACATGAATGCTTTTTGGTTTGAAACAGTTGAAATAGTTTCTCAGAAACAATTCCACCTTATTATGGCCTTTTTTCTTTTAACCACTGCTGTTCTACCTAGGCAGTATCTTCCAACAACCCTCTGCTTCATGTTTACACACACATGACAAATGTGTAAATGTGATGTTCCCTTACATGCATCTTAGTATAGATGGGGATTATTTCTGAGACTGTGCTAAAAAGTGATCATCTAGAAAAAGACTGTTTTTACCTGTGAAGGTTGAATGAGCATCTAAACACACCTCGCCATGACATGCATGCAGATTTGTGAAAATACACAATAAATAGACTGGGAGTGTGAACCACGAGGATCAGAAAATTCAACGTGATCTCAGTTTTTCTCATTTTTTTAAATTTGATCTGATTACTTGACTTCCTTCTTCCATCGCCATTTAAAAAGAATTTCACTCCCTCCATGAATTACCATGGAGAACACAATCAGCTGGAGCTTTCAGGACAAAAATCAAGCAGAGAAGCTCATAATCTTTCTGTTTATGTGCACAGTCATGATGACATGTCTGCGTGTGTGCGTTCATACCGGTGTGGATCTGCCGGTGAGCCTCCAGGGATTCTTCTGTCTGGAACTGGGCGCCACACTGGTCACAAACTATGGCCTTCTCGCCAGCTGGACAAGAGACAGAAAGTGGATGCTTATTACACACAATGAAAAAATATGTATATGAACTGGTGAGGGGAAAACAGGGTTAAAGCTCAGATGAGACAAATTAAAGAAATACATTTCACTCAAAACTCTGACTTGTTTATTTACTCTTATATTTTTTTGTTGCTTTACACTTAAACACATTAAGATATGTCAGCAATGTAAAAGCTTTGTTTTGTCCACCAGGGAGCACTTTATTCCAGTAATTAATTAAAAGATTTCCAAATTATGTTTGACCATATATTTGCTAATATACTAATAAAAGGTATTTCAACTAGTAAAACATTAATAACTGGCCTGAGAAAGCATTGGTGAGGCTCAAATAATCAGGTTTTAAGTTTACTGAGGAAGTGGAGAGGACTTGAATGAATGAATATTGGTTTAAACTCATTTTAATTACATTCACCTTGATGCATATCCTGTGAGAGAATTACTTAGTTTTATTTTCAGGTTACAAATGATATCTATATGATTTGGCTATAGATGCTGAAAAATGACTGATAATGTTTTTTTCCACATTATTCTATAAAGACCTGACTGTCATTATTTCAGCCTGTCTTTTTTTTTTCAGAATTTAGATTCATATTTTTTCCACATCTGATTGATTAATGAGTGGATTGTACAATATAATTAAGCCTGCAGTACAATTAGCGCTATAACTTGATGAGTCAATCTATCCACTTTCACAATGGTCAGCTTCTGGTCCAAATTTAATGAATATGCAACAGAAGGTGTCATATCCTTTTCTGACTAATGTAGTCTAATTTCCCCCCAAAATTCAAACGCTAAAAGAAAAGAAGAAAAGAAAGCAAGCCCAGCATCTGTGACCAACACATCCTCATTTCTAAGCAACAAATTAAGTCGATTGGCAGCGATTGTCGAAACTGTAACACTAGCGTCCTGTACCAAAGCAGCAAAAACACTGACAGAACCCATATTTGGAGGAGAGAGGTGAGGTGGTGTCTGGATCATACGGTTTGAGTAGGGTTAGAGAAACATAATGGTTCTTGTGAAATAGAGCCTTTCACAGCCATATGTTCAAAAGGCAAACTCTCCCATCTGTAACAAGCTTACTCTAAATTTTCCTGGTTACAAATCCCACCCAGGGGCCTTTCTGAAAAAGATGGACATTCCATGTGCGAGGTCACTGACAGAGATGACAATCATTTTAACCTTTTGAAAAATCAGCTACTATTGTTGTTTTTCTTTTGAGGTCAGTCTTTTTTTTTTTTAAGCATATTTATGTATACTTTATTGATCCCCACGGGGAAATTTCTCTCTGCATTTAACCTCACTTAGTGAAGCAGTGGGCAGCCACAAATCTAGCACCCGGGGAGCAGTGTGGAGGGACGGTACCTTGCTCAAGGGTACCCCAGGGTAGCTGTTCAGGGGATTCAATCCCCGACATTCCAATCATGGGGCCACCACTCTACCTACTGAGCTATCCCTGCCATTACATTACATTAGAAACATGGCTAACAGTCCATGTTTAGGTTTAACACATTGATGAAACTGTCACTGTAACTGTCATACATCAATTATCGTATAAGCTAACTTACATATCAACAGTGGTTGTGCACACACATACAAATCGCATTGGCTTAGTAGACACACCTGCCATTAACTTGAAGTAGGCTATTGACTCAAAATCATAAAGTTGTTGTCATGTGCTCTTGCACTTTTGTTGCTCCGTGCTGTTAATTCAAGTAGATCAAATAAGTAGCCCTTGAGCCGTAGTCTAAATTATCATGTTCACCTACACTTTGTGAATGTGTACAACCTTTTACAACAACTTTAAAAAAAAAGAAAAGAAAAAAAAAACAGGAAGCTGGCATGTACACATCCAGTGTTTTGTTGAAGGGCAAATCAGATCAGGCTCCAGCAAATGAATTTTTATTGCTTGGCAATGAGCACCACACATGCAACACACTTTTCACCAGCACACACATGCACACACACGCAGTTTAACATCTGGATGTTGTGTGTACAAAATGACTCTACGTGTGTGTGGGTGTGTGCCTGTTTCCAGTGCAAGCACAGAGCAATCTCTACTGACTAGACCTTGGTTTGTTCTTGGCACAGCCTCCTGGGTTACGACACCTCCAGAGAGAGAGAGAGAGAGAGAAAGAGAACACAATGAAAACAGGAAGCCAATTCTTAGATGACAGAAAAAAAAGTCAGGGAAAGATGGCTTATGTGGTTTTGCAACCACAGTGGCACTAGGGAACGGCCTGTACTGTAATGAACCCTAAAAAAAAGGAGAAATAACACGGACCGTACACGACAGAGTGTGCCTGCCAGAACATGCTTATGCAACAAGCTATGCAAAAGATGGTACACTGAGCGTGACAAGATCATAAGCCACTGTAATGCGACCTATAAACGCTAGCATATCCTGCATTCATCTGCAGCATCACAAGATATATTTCCATTTAACTACTTGTGACTAAAGAGAGTGAGCCGCGGAGCAATGTCTTCTTTAATTGGCTGCATATTCAAGAGGCGTAATTTGCTGTTTGAGCGTATGGTGCGCTGGTGTCGAATGCACAGATGAGCATATGGCCGAATTAGCCGGCAAAAGCATCCACTTAACCTTTGAGGAATAAGACATGTAGTGGAGGTGTAGGCAGAACACTCCCCACCCCCCAAACACCCCCACTGATGTCCCTGATTTGCATTAATCGGATAGTGCCTCTTTTGCTTCTTTAACTTCTGATTCATTATCATGGAAACTGTAATTATTATTTTTACAGGCTGCGGTTGCTCTGTTAACCTTCCTTGGACTTTTTCCTCTATTGATTTGAGCTCATCGATTGCCCTTGCAGCGAGCAACTGAGACAATTTTATGAAGGCAACTTCTGACTCCAATTCTATCATATGCTGTTGAGAGTCTAAACAGAGCTCAAAGTAAATACACATTCACATTTTTACATTAGATATAGAAGCCTGTCCACCACATGCATACATTACATTAGTTATTGTCATTTCAATTGAGGTCTTAGGTTTTAAACGTGGATTTTCTTCCAGGTAGCAACGAGGCTAAATTAATTCCCCTCATCTAAGAAGTAAGATAAGTAAGTAAGCGGCACAGTTTCAGTTTACAAACTCCCTACATTCATTACCAGGTGCCCCTCAACGGCCAATGGGCTTCTCAGATGCCATCAGACCAAAGTGTGATTGTGCGCTGCAGCTTCCAGATGCGAGTATGTGTAACTGTGCTGCTGCATGTTCCTGTAGATCTACTGTAAAACCTGTTATTTCATAGGAAATGTGAAATTTGGTGTTCACTGATGTCTGCAAGGTACTCAGCTTTACACTTGCATAGTAACCAGTAAGTAACGATTTCGCCTGAGAGACAGTGGTGCAGCACTATAACCACTCTTCTGGGAGGCCAAGAGGCGTGTGCTAAATGGGCCAGGGATAGGATTTTAGTGCAGGGCATGCCCCTGCTTGTGGCACAAGGACATAAATTGTCAGGAAATGCCTGCATGGTGCCTTGCTTCAAGGAGAATGGACTTGTGCGAGGTCAATGTAGGGCAAAGGGGGTGGAAAAGTGGAAGCACAAGAATCCAGGGTACACACCGCCAGGCAGCCACCCAGCCAGATGACCGTCACTCTAGTTAGCCAGCTGAGTGCTAACGGGGGGCCCCTCCACTTGGTAACAGCCTCCATTAGCCATTTTTGGTGCCAAATTAAAGTGATAAATCTTGAGGCCCCCTTTGATCACAAGAGAGTGAACTTGTTAGTTAGAGGGAGAAGGGAGCTGGGATAGAGGAGACACACACTGTTACCCTTGTGATTTGTGTCCTAAAATAATAAACTACTGCCTTACCAGGGGGGCCCATTCAAATCCTCACTGTAGAGTCTAAAGGAAAATTCTTTTACCACTGAAATGATCTTGAGCTTTCATTTAAATGAGTCATATTTTAATTCTCACAAAACTAACAAAAATGATGGCATCGTAGAGAAGCTCAACGGGGAACATGTAAATGAATGAGCACTCACAAAATAACATGATGTAAATACAAGTTATCTGTCAGAAAATCTAAAAGATGAAAAGAGGAAGAAAAAAATAAAGGAATCTCCAAATGCCTAATCTGCTGTTAGCGGGGACTCCCATGTTACTTTTCCACAGATTCAGGCCTTTGCTGACATAATAAAAGTTGCACAACGCATGATGAGTTGGTGTGTGTGTGTACATGTGTGTTGGGAGATGGGGATAGAGTGGTGATCAGGTGCCACATGCCGCTGAAGCCACTTCCTTTTTCACTTCTCCTTTGTCAATATTGCACAACTGCTGTTGCAGAGCAGTTTGGCTCAGTTATTTCATAATAAAATACAGTAAAAGAGAACAAGAGAACAGAGCTCCGTGCCCAACAAGTAAGCATCCTACAGTGCCCAGCAGCAAATACTAAAGTAATGGTTCCACATACACTATACGCCTGATCCATCTTATCCCACAGATAAAGGAGACTTCCCTTCAGGTAGTGCTTTGGTGTTTTCCAATAACCTCTTGGTACGCTGGGCACATTAAATTGGCTATTGTTTCTGTAAATGCATATTCTAATTAGAGGAATGTACATTTACAGGCTGAAAACCGTGCCACTTTATTTCAATGTATTCTTCCTTGCTGGTGCATTACTGGGTATTTAAGGTGTCTTTGTCCTTGCTGAGGAGGTTAAGTTAGAGCCCACCTTCTATTAGATTGGTATTTTAGATGGTCAAGAGCACTGGGTAAAAATATATTTTTATTAAAAAAAACAAAAAAAAACAAAAAACAGAAAGTTGGGCCCAACATGAAAGTCAAGTCAAGGAAAATAAAAAATATATATATTTATATATATCAAAGAGTTTATCTGTATCTCAAAAACCTTTTTTCAAGCAAGCACGTGCAAAAACACACAAAAATAAACATCCTGAGTCGGCTTAATGTTCCCATAATGCTTGCAAAAACAATTTCACAA